TTGAAAATATACTGGCCAACGTGAGTATAGATTAGCGGTAATTGATACCGAGATTGTGAGTTCGAATTCCCTTTCCAACATATTATAAAAAATAAATACTGTTATTTTATATCATTTAGGTAAATGTCTCGCCAATTATTAACAAATTCATGTTTAGTTATTTAGATATATTTCAATAGTGTTTTAATTTTAGATATGATTTGCGTATGGAAGTAATGGGTCTAGAAATAAAATTGATTTGACCGTTTCGTTCAACTTTTTGGACAAATCGTGAAGCTAGTTAGGCTAGGATAATTGAATGCTGACATTGATTAGACTTGAATACCATCTTTTAAATTGTTGAAATATAAATCTTATTGTACTCTAAAATATTTAAAATTTAAAAAAACCCAAATATATATACATATATATGAAAAAACTTACTCCACTTCTTCCTTAGCACCATAACTCATTATTTCTTTTTATTTTTTATTTTTTATTTTGTATTTCTCTCTTAGGGGAAGTTTTTCATTAAGAAGCCTAATTTTTTCCATATACTATAAATTTTGGTATTTGCATAATCTCAACAACGAAATAATATATTTTCTTAGATCATAATTTTGTAATTTTCAAAATTTGACCATTTTTTTTTAAGAGTATGACAAAAGAAGACTTTAAAATATACCAATTTGATTTTTGACAACAAAAAATAACACTCAAATAGCCATCAAGGACTCAAAAGTGAGCATAGTTTAGTGGTAATTGACATATATTTTTAAGAAGTCATGAGTTCAATCCACCCCTATATTGTACAAATAGTCATAAAGGAATTATACTAAAAATTATGGGAAATTGTATTGGGTAGCTAAACTTTTATACATATTTACAAAAATGTCAACCACTTTTGTATTTTGTAAATATGGCAAAATAGTTAAATTTTTATTTTCGGAATTTTTATTATTCCAGTTTTAACCTTATGATATCTGATATACACTCGATGTATATCTGATATACGCCCGATAGATGTATATCTAATATACACTTGATAGATGTATATCTTATATACGTCCGATATATCTCTGATATACTTCCGATCTACATCTGATGTATCTCTGATATACATCAGATGTACGTATTATACATCTAATATACATCTGATGTACCTCTAATTTATGATATATTAAATACATTTGTAATGATATACCTATGTATATCTTATATGATATATATCTGATGTACATATGATATATATCAGTGGCATACTAAATATATTTGTAACTGATATCTGATATACATCAGTAGATCACAGATGCATCAATGTTAGATATCACTAGATCTCATAGTTATATCAATGGTAAATTATAAACATATTAAGTATATATCATAGATGCATCAAAGTTATATTAGTGGTAAATCATATAATCATATAAGAAGTTACATTAATAGATATCATAGTTATATCAGTGGTAAATTAAAGACATATAAGGTATATATCACAAATATATAAGTGTTAGATCAGCATGATAAATCAATGGTAAATTATATAATCATACAAGAACTTATATAAGTATAAATCAGAGTTATATCAGTGGTAAACCATATTATAAGTTATATTGGTAGATAACATAGATATATCAGAAGTAAATCAATTGTATATCAACATTATATTAGTGGTATATCAAAGACATATCAATAATATATTACGCATGTATCAGTGGTAAATCAATAAATAGTAAATAATATAATCATATCAGAAGTTATATTAGTAGATATCATAGTTATATCAATGATATATCAGTTATACTATATCAGTAGTAAATTAGATGTACATCAAGTATATATCAGAGAGAAAAAAATATATATATATATGTATGTATGTATGTCAAGTATATATCATATAGCACTGATATATATGTGTATATATCAGTGCTCTATCGATGCTACGAGGATAAATTTGACATTTTATTATTAGACCTCCGTTTTTTCTAAAAAATTTGCTATATTTGCCAATCTAAAATGTAGATGCTAAATTTGTTATTTTCTTAAATTTTTTTTGCCATATTTGTAAATGCCCAAAAAATGATTGGAGGGAAAAGTCCAAACATACATTTAAGACCATCGAATTATTTATGATTCGAACAGATTATATCTCAATTTTTTAATTTTAATGGAGGTTAATAATACTGTAATTCACTCAACCATACTAATACCAATTAGGTTTGATTTTTTTTTTTAGTAGAATACTTAAAACGAAATTCAAAGTCACCATTTTTTTTATCAGGTATAAGTACTTAACTCTTTTAGTTATATTTAGGTTAACCTTTTAAGTAAAAGGAAATGCCATATGTAAGTCTCTGGCATAAGTTGTTATAATTACAAAAAGAAGCCCAATCAAAATTAGGGTTGGTGGGTTTTAATTAATTAGTAGTATTATTATTGTTTAATAAAAGTTAGTCAGTTATAATTGACTGAACATATTTCGACTTGGATTTGATTTTTATAGGTTGAGTTGTTTATTATTATTGCTTTATTAGGTTGTCCTATTATAATTTATTATTATTACTACTACTACTTATTATTAGCATTCATACTTTGTAAAAAAAAAATCCGACCTCTCTCTTTTTTTTTTAATGAATGTATCAAAAATATAAATAAAAAAAGGCTCCATTTGCTTGGGAACAGGTTTAAGATTCTCATATGATATTTATTAAAATGTAGGAACAAAACTAATTGGTGGATTCGTCTCAAATTTCAAAAGTACTCTCCCTTTATAATCTCATTCATTCTTTTGGTCACTATTTTTTTTAAATAAATAATATTTAAATAATGAATGTGTTAATCTAAACATAGTTCAACTAGTTAAAATATAAAAATGCTGCGAGTTTTTGAATCCTCACTCCTATTTCTTGTACTCAAATAAACAAAATTAAATGATTGATGTCACATGAGCTACATTTTAGAGAGTTACTATTTACTTTAAGATAATAATAATAATATTATTATTACTATTTTTTTTTATAAGGAGATAACAAGAATTAAAACTTTACTTTGATGATATTTATACTGAATAATGAGAATTGAAACTTTACTTTGATGATATTTGTAATCCTTGCAATCAATCAGTTCATCGATGTTCAAAAAATTGTGAAGATGCTGGAGGCCATGACTATCTTGGAGGATTTGCGGAACTTGCTTTGGTGGTGTCTTATCCAATCCGAGTAGAGACTAATTTGGTTGAGGTGATGAAGTTGTTGCGAAATGAATAAAACGATCTCATTGAAATTGTGTTGGTGGTCGATGAAATCATGAGTTTGAAAGATCCTTGTAGTGTTATCTCTTTTAGTAAGATGGACAGATATGAAAACTCTAGTGCCCACTCCCTTCTCATAGGGCTCTTGAGGTCGAGGAAACTAACTGCTGGATTGTTCTCTTGTTTCTTGATGAAGTTTATATGTATACCTTTTCAATAATAATTTTACCATTTTTATCCTTTAATTTTTATTTAATTAATAACAATGAAATTATTTATATACACGGTTTTTTTTTTTTGTTTGGAAGTAAGAGCTTGTATTGAGATTAAGATGTCACGAGGCTACAATTGAGAGGATGATCCCTCTACCACTTGAAAAGCCAGGAAGGAAATATGGGAAAAACCACATGCAAGTAGTAGAACCAATGAAGCCCTTGTTTGGTTAAAAGGTCAGATTTGTTGCTTACACGATAAATATGAGTAAATTTTGTTGTTATAACAATAAAATTGTATATTAACGATAGGTGTTCGATAAAAATTATATTGGCCCATTTGAGTTGATGTAATTTTATTTTAATTATTAATAATAATAAAATAAAATACCTTTCTGATTTATTTAATTAAAAGTAATATTAGTACACTATTTGATTAAAGTATTTATAATTGACTAGGTTTCTAATTATGATCCAAGACAATTAATAGTAAATAACACATGTCAACCTCAACTAGTTATATCTCCGATAAAAAAGTCGTGTGTTTAAAATTTCACCCCACATATTGTTATATTAAAAAAAATTGAAATAAATACATTTACCTATTGAATAGTCGTATGTATGTGTGTATATATACATGCTAAAAGAACAAAACTCCACCAAGGTGATTTAACCCACAAATAGAGCATATAATCTTTCCCGAAAAGATTTAGGTCCAAACATATAATTCAACAAAATTCCATTTAAAATACAGTTCAAACAGATATGTTATCATAAACATAGCTCAACATATTAAAGCATTTATGTCAAATCGAAAGGTCATAAGTTTGAATATTTATTAAATAACATCAATAATGTCATAATAAATACAAATAGAAATAAACTTAGCATAAAATGTGTTGGAAATTTGACTAAAGTCTAACATTGACTAGACAACAATAATATCATGGATTATACAAGTGAGGAACGACATCTCTATTGATGTGAGGTATTTGAAGTGAAACTAAATACAAAGTCATGAGATTTGTATCTAAAGTAGACAATATCATACAATTGTAAAAAATGTATGGAGAGTCACCTATCCTAATACGTGTATAAAAACCATACCCTTGATTAACTTAGTTGCGCTAATAAAATCGAAATGTGTGGAGGATCCCTTAAAATCTATAAAAACCTCACTAGTTTCAATGAAATTAAACTTAACACAAAATTAAATATAATGCATAAAGTCAACAACTGAACTTATATTTTATAATTTATTAAACGCCTTCAAGAACACTTTTCTAGCAATTATTGCGAAAATTTATTGAGGGGTAAAAATTGTAATACATTTTTTCAAATTTAAGGTAAAGCTTATAACATTATCTCAGTTTAAGTGTAATTTTGATGAAATGAAAAGTTTAGGATTAAAAACAATTTGTTCCAGAAAAAGAAAAACCAAGAGGGCGGTTGTTTACTGTTACAGTTTAGCACAAATTCCAATAATAATCCATTATTAAAATTTAAAAAGAAATAAAGAAAACCGTACTTAATTGCTATTTACAATCTCATCCCCAACCTTTTACGGCAAAGATTAGCTGATGAGTTGGAAGCTTGCTTCTCCAGAAATGGAGACTTTCACTCTCTTCACTCATAGTCCCATTCTCTTTCCGCTGCTTATTGGTGGCTTTCCATCTTCCTGAAAAACCAACCCTAACCGGTAAGTCTACGCTTTAAATTCCGCATTCATTCACTCCCAAACATTTTTCACGCATTTTGATTGTGTCCGGAATTTTTTCCCTTTTATCGTCCCTCCTCCTTTTGGATCTGCGACTACCACTATTTCTTCCCTTGTTCTTACGCGCTTGAACACCAGATTCTTGCCCAAATATGGCAAAAATGCCGCTCTCTCCTCTCTGCTAATTGCCATCGTTGAACTCCTCGCTCTGCTTCTCCCCCTTCCATTATTTCCAATTCTGGCTCGCATCCACCGATTGTACACTGGTTAGTTCGGGTTTTTACTGTTTTTTGCCATCACGATTCACGACTTTCGAAACTACAACATTCTTTAACCCCAACTGTTCTATCTGAACTTTCTTCTTTTGTCTATCCCTTTTCTCAGTGTTTTTCCCCTCTCTTAGAGTCGGATTGTAATGGCGAAGGAGAAGATCCAGATCAGGAAGATCGATAACGCCACGGCGAGGCAGGTCACCTTCTCCAAGCGGCGGAGGGGGCTTTTCAAGAAAGCGAAAGAGCTATCCGTTCTCTGTGATGCCGACGTCGCCCTCATTATCTTCTCCGCCACCGGAAAGCTGTTTGAATACTCCAGCTCTAGGTTTCTCTCTGCTCCCTCCCTCTTTAGCACACACTTGTGATTTAATCAGTCGAATAAGTACAATCGATATCATTATATGAACTTTAATCAGTCTCTCGTGATTTCTGAGGCTTTCTGCGTTTTCTGAGCCTACGTTTTTTCCATTTACGAAGTACACAGTATTACCTAAAATGGCCAGAACCATGACAGAAATGAAGAACAAAGTGCAGAACACACATATTAGGATACGAACCAAGTAGAAAATATTCGCGATTTCGGTAATTGATACGAGAGGATTTGCCCTCGCATCTGCAATGAGGTGTATGGTGACAGTGATGACTGAACTTTCGAGTCACTCATTTCTATCATACTGTGGCCGTTTTTGTAATGACGTACTTAACTCTAGTTGTTTCTGTTGATTTTCTTCTCTAATTTTTGGATTGGAGTGACAAACATGGATTCATTATCATTATTTTCTATTTGTTTGTAATATTCTCCTTCACTGATTATTGCCCGTATTTGACTTTCTAAAGCATGAAGGGAATTATAGAAAGGCATCATTTGCACTCTAAGAACCTTCAGAAATTGGAACAACCATCCCTTGAACTACAGGTCAGTTGTTTTCTTTTCCCTCTATGCATCAATGGCATTTCCTATATAAATAATTTCTCTCGTTATATTTCTAAGAATTATTACTGGAAATATAAGAAAATATTATTATTTTAAAATGGAAAAGGACTTCATTTGTTCTAATAACACAAAGCATTGCGAAAACCAATTTAGAGAGGAAAAGAAGCCCTAAAAACGCAGTTACTTGTACATTGATATTTTTCAAATAGTTATTAAACAAGCACTGAATGGTAGAAAATGTTTGGGACTTATATTCTTCATGCGTTAGGATGAGTTTTGAGACCAGTTTTTTTTACGTAAAGCACTCTTCTATGAGCATTTTCTGGGAGAATACTAATTCTAATTAAATGCTTCTTTTAGAGGTATATTAAATAGTTTTTAAACTTTAAAATCATTTTTAATCATGTAATCAACACTATAAAAATTTTGAGAAGTAATTTTTAATCAGTTTTAGTATTTTTCATGCTTCCAAAACACATCTTAAACTCATCCTAATTCTACATTATTATATTAAATTAAGTGCCAGCACGGGAACGGTTTCTACCTTTCACATGTTTGTTTTCGTACGAAATGCAAGTTGATTATGTTTCCTACTTGAAGACTTGGATTATTTCAACTCATTGGTTTCATTCCTTTAGTTTGCTGATAAAATGTTTATAAATGTAAATGATTTTCAGCTAGTTGAAAACAGCAACTATACCCGATTAAACAAGGAAATTGCAGAGAAAACTCACCAGCTAAGGTAACTATATTTCGCAGGAGTTTAGTTGTTCCAATCCGTGCTTCTATTTTTATAACTACTTGATGCATATATGAGAAAATGGGGAAATATTTCTTAATCATGTAAGTGATGATCTGATTATATAATGCTCTCTTTAAACAATTTTTTTCTTTCACACACATTCAGTAATATGAGAAATCCGAGCATATACACAAACTAGATTAAATTTGTTGATAATTTAGGCAGATGAGAGGAGAGGAGCTCCAAGCATTGAATATAGAGGAACTGCAGCAGCTAGAGAAGTCGCTAGAGTCTGGATTGAGCCGTGTGATGGAGAAAAAGGTATTTTCACTTTCTTCACAAGTCGTAGAGATCAAGTCCCCATTTCCTTCTGATATACAGTACATTTTTATGTTCCAGGGCGAAAGGATCATGAAGGAGATCAATGATCTTCAAAGAAAGGTTAAGTACTATCTTCAAATAAATAAGGCTGTTGCCCAAAGACCCGTATTAGAATAATCAATTGTAATCTTCATTAATATTTAATAATAATTTTTTATTTAGTTTAATTTATAATCATGAATGTTATATATACTTAAATAATTTTTACTTTGGAAACGCGTTTCTTAATAAATGACTTGAGTTTCATAAGTTTTATTCTTATCATTGAGACGTGAATGGTCTGTTTATTTATTTGAAGAATATATATGTAAACACAAATTTTCAGAACATTACCCAAAATGCATTTCAACTAATGTCGGTTAATCCTAATCCAGCAAGCCATTAATTTAGTATTAGTGCATCAGGCACTTGTAAACATCAATTGTATGTGACTTCAATTGCTTATTATCAAACGAGTTGAAGCTAAGTCCAAAGTTTTATCTGCATGCAGTCGGCAGAATTGATGGAAGAGAATAAGCGACTGAAACAGCATGTAGGAACAACCCGCTGTCCTTCGCTTAATTAATTTAAGTCTTTATTAAACCCTTTATAGCTTATAGACTCGGTGGTTTTGTAGGCGGACAAGATGAATGGGGTGAAGCATATTAGCGTCGAGCCTGAGAATTTGGCCGTGGAAGATGGCCAGTCGTCGAACTCCATTACTGAAGCCTGTGTGTCCAACTCCAATGGCGGCCCGCCTCAAGATCTGGAAAGCTCAGATACATCTCTGAAACTAGGGTAACCTCACTGCATTACCATTGAAATCAATTATTTTTTAGTAAAGTTCATTTGACGGGTCAAGTTTTTTATGATTGAGTGGTCGTTTATCCAATGGTTACAGGCTGCCGTATTCTGGGTGATGCTGACGGTGACAGTGATGGAACAAGAAAATGAACGGGCACTGTAGCAAGCGAAAAGGTAGTGTAAAAATAATTATATCCTAAATTTTGGGTTAGTTGTGTAATTGGAATCTAAATCTAACCCGTCTTGCTTTATCCAATTCATATGACTCTCCATTTAAATCTGAAAACAAGGTTGCAATTCTAAGAATTCTATGCACCTGTCAATGAATCAACTTAGCCTGCAACTGGGTCTGCTGAATCCTTGGTGAATTCTAGCAGTCATGTAGTTTTTTGGGGGTAATGTTTTAATGGATTGCTGGAAACGACAGCGTTTGCTGGTGGCATAATAGTGTATTGACCTTGGTTGTTAAACAATGTAGAGTTATATATAATTTTATTTTAAACTACTGGCTGTTTTTATTTTTGAATGGTGCGTGGTGGGATATTGTTGTCGCTCTGTCCATCTTTATAGCAGTATAAATGATGTGTTCAGGAAATCGTTGTGAAATCAATTTTGAACGTTATGCCCTACCATAAACACTAGACATTCAGATGATTCAAATTGTCGTAATCAATTCATTTGAACAATTTAAATTTAAGTTGCTAAAGTTTGGGATTGTTAATGAAACATTTTATTTTAGTACAATTCCCTTTTCATTTAACGTGGAAGTGTTTTTGAGAGTTATTGCTGGATGTTGACGTCAGTCTGAATGTTATACTTCAATCAAAATTACCATTTGAAAATCCAGAACAAGTGCTGGTCGAAAGTTTAATTAAGGGAAATGTGAATAAAAAAAAGTATAATTAAGAAAATTTTCAATGCCAATTCACGTGTTCGAATTTGTGAAGTATAACCTAAACTCTTAAAAGGCACATATATCATTAAATCGTGGCATGGAGTGCTTAAATTTAAGATCTAATACTAAAGAGCACTTGATTTGTGCTGATTTCTCTCTCCATTCCAATTCTTTGTTTATTTCTTATTATTTGTTTAATCGTGTAGATGAAAAAGTAGACATAAAGCGGCGATGATTGACAGAAGTTGTAATAATATGAGGAGCAACATCATCTAATATTTGCTTTAATGCTAAGCGGCCATTTTATAGTAATTAATTATAAATTAACGTCTTTGTAATAATTAATGATTATAAAGGGGAATCGATCTCTTAAATCTTAATAATTAATTCAGGCTTCGTTATTGGGGCTCATCAATTTAATTACTTGTAAAATGGCTTTGCATTTGCACTTATAAATTATAATTTCTTGGATGCTTCACAACATTACTGCAGTTGCACGCAACGTCTGGGCAGATCTACGCGATGCTCCTGTAAACACGTGTCATCTGTCATTTTATGTCCATTAATTTAAATTAAACATATTTTATTAAGAATCTTCTAAATTTTAAAATTTAACTACAAATTCAAAAGATACTTTTAAAAAGCAAAAAGTATAGCAAAAAATTGATAGTACACGTTAAAATTTGTAATACTAAAGAGGGAGTATTCTCTCGTTATACAATAATCTATCTTGTATAAATAATTCATTAGCGTTGTGAGCACAACATTATTTTTAAATGATGTTAACATATCTAATATCAAATACTAATTGTCATATTTATACATTACCTTACATTTCTCCCTTGAAACTGAAATTGTATATATGTTCAAAAGATATTTTCATTAAAAGACAAAAAAATCATAATATATATAAAAAGCACACGATTAGTTCAAGTCGAATTAGTTGATTTTTTTTTTACTATGGAGGTGAGAATCTGAGCTAAAAATTTTTTTGTTTGAGATATGTGTTTTAACTAATCGAGGATTGATATGACATTAGTTTATTTGAACATTTTGGGTGAGATAGCAAGGAGCCAAAATAGTAAATACCCTACTTCTTTTCATTGACAACAATTAAGAAATATCTATTTTCTTATTTTATTTGCAAGGTGTCCAATAAGCCCACTCATCAAACTATTGAATTTTCAACAATCTTTCCATTGAGCACCGACTTACCAGTGGTCACCATCATCGTCCGTCCCTACTTAATTAATAGATCTTACTATTTTTTAAATAGATTTCAATCACATCGGTTTTTAATGCAGATACATACACTAGTATTATTATTATTTTTTGTTAGTACACATGCATCACTATTTATACAATGTACTTCTCAAAACATTCAATAAATGATATTACATTTCTATTTTCTAAGTAACCAAAAAACTCACACTAAAAAACCAAAGACATTAGCATCGAGACTTTAAACAAGTAGGTAAGAAGTAAGAACCGACAAGCAACCTTCGCCGAAGACATCATTTTTCTTTTGTTTGTAGCGTCAAGATTTAAGATTGGGCATCTCGATATCACAATCAACGAGCTCTATTTACTATTATCATCATCGCACGATGGAATATCGATCATTGAAAATTAACGAAAGTTGCGGAAAGAAGAAAGAAAACTACACAATCGAAGAGGGAAGAGAGAGAGGAGTCGAAGTGTATCAATAATTGCAGTCATTTGCGGAAAGCCGATTGTCGGTGCTCATAGTTGCGACTTGCGAGAGATGAACATGAATCCAATAAAGTGGACCATGGAGGGGCAGAGGCAGAGGCAGAGGCACCAACGGGTCAAATCCAAAATCCAGAACACGCCCTCGTCCTTTTGTAGTTAAAGTGGATGAAGAGGCGAAGGTTATTTTCCCTTCGTGATTCTCTCTTTACTTTAAGGTACGAAAATCTTTAAATCGCCATACCCACCTTTTATCCGCTTGGACCCTATCTGAAAACGACACGCTTTCTCTCTAATCAATTCATCTGCGAGCTGTACAGGCGTCCATGTGTGTGAATCAGATGCCTTTACTCTCATCTGCCCTACTACTACTACTCACTCTCACTCTCTTATAACCCCATTATCACTGAAACCACCTCCTCCATTGCAATCCCTTTCCTGCTTCTGGGGTTGGGGGTTTCACATTTGATTAGCGAAACCAGAGCCCATCTCCGAGATCTGTGATGGTTATGGGAGTCAACTATCAGTCGAGCTCGAACAGAGCAGGGGCTTTGGTTGGTGTTTTCGTGCTGCTTTTCCCCGTTTTTCTGCCGGGTTTGTTCAGCCCTTTGAGCCATGCGTCGCCTTCCATGTTCTCGGTACTTATTTACCTCTTTGGTCTTTCTTATTATTTTTTGGGTTATCAAAGTTTTGAGCTTTTGATCTCCTTAATCTCGTGAGGGAATGTCGGTGTTTTTGATTTTGAAGGTTTGCCGTAAACAGAAATCGTTATCTTAGTGAAAGTTGGGAAATGTTTTTCCTGTGCAATCTTTTGGAAATGTAAATACACAATACAGTGGCCCTCTTCATTTATAGTATGTCGGCATGATATTGATTAAGATATTTGTAACAGAAGATAAAAATTGGAATGTTTGGTTCCTAATTAATTTTAGGAGAATGGTACTCTATGTATAAGCTAACTATGGTTGCCAATTCAACGAAGGTACCTATTAGTATCCTCTTTAAGGGCGATGATTCAATCTCCCACCCTAACTTAAAAAAAAAAAAAAGATAAAAGCAGGTTAACACTGGTGAAACCTAACCTAAATGAATAAATGAATGGTTAATCTTTCATCTTTAAATGTTAAAACTTTTCTTTAAATCACCTAGTTTCTGTTCCCTGTAGAAATATTTGCTATGAGTTGTAAAATTTGACTAGTGCGTGCATCATGTTATTTTTGCACCACTATTAGGCTTTTTACAAGTTCTTAAGATGATAGTTGATGATTTAATTGGCAACCTTTGCGCAGGAATGGAACACTCCAAAGCCTAGGCACTCGCGTCTTCTGAAGAGTGCTGTACAACGCCAAAGTGTGGGTAAAAGTTGATTGATCATATGATCAAAGTTGTTTTTATATCGAACAACTACAGTTTATTATGAATGAGAATCTCATATTGTTAAATCCTATTTCTGTAACAGTCAATACCAGATCAGTCTGCTTTATGGGCTCCTTTAGCTGATGAAGGATGGAGGCCTTGTGTCGAATCTTCAAAAGCTTCTTGTATGTCTTAAATCATGGAGTTTTAGATCTCAGAAATTTCACATGATCATTGTAGTATTTCAACACATTAAAATTACTGATCTTTTTCATGCCTGGTTTATACCATTGATCCATATGTTCTGCAGCACTTCCAGAGAAGTCCGAAGGATATATTCAGGTGTTTCTTGATGGAGGGCTGAACCAGCAAAGAATGGGAGTATGTGTTGTATTGTCTTTTTAAGTTGTATTAGAATTTTAGCATACTTTTTCTTATTAAACATTTTCTGGCATATTTTTGTTTATGATAGTCTTTAATTGTGAAAAGCTTACTTATACCACATGCAGATATGTGATGCAGTTGCTGTTGCCAAAATTCTCAATGCAACCCTTGTGATTCCGCACCTTGAGATTAATCCTGTCTGGAAAGATTCAAGGTACTTAAAATTTTGATAGTTGTGATATAAATCTTCCTTTCTTGTATATATGGAAAAGTTATAATGAGATTTTTTCCCTTATCCTTTATTCTTTGTAATCTGCAGTTCTTTCGTCGATATATTTGATGTGGATCACTTTATTAATGTATTGAGGGATGACATTTCTATAGTTAAAGAGCTGCCAGCTGAATTTTCTTGGAGTACTAGAGAATATTATGCTACAGCTATTCGAGCTACTAGAGTAAAAACAGCGCCTGTTCATGCTTCAGCCAACTGGTATCAGGAGAATGTCTTACCGGTACTACAGAGGTTGGTATCAAAGCATATTCGTTCTAACCTTCTAGGACTGGAAGTATACTTGCTAGTTTTTAAATCTGCACATACAGTCAATCACTTCATTTATATAAAAGATAAAAGGTGAAGCATTTAAACATAACTGAGAAATAAAAAAATTAACATTACGTAGGACGGGTGCGGGTGCCCCTGAGTATAGGGGAGCAACAACAACCAGTTATCAAAAGAAAAAAAAAAGGACCAACATTACATAGTTGGTATACCTCACAGTTGGATATATGGATGTCTGAAAATTTTGATTGAATGCAGATTTAGGAAACTTTCCAGCGTGTACATGTGCTATGACAGTTTCTTGTTGTTCTCTGAAATATTTTACTAACTCGATTTTACATTCCTTTTCTATACTAATGATTCAGATATGGTATTGCTGCCATTGCACCCTTCTCACACCGTCTAGCTTTTGAGAACTTGCCTGATGAGATACAACGGCTCCGCTGTAAGGTTAACTTTCAAGCATTGACTTTTGTTCCCCATATCCAAGCACTGGGAGACGCTCTCATCAGTCGGCTGCGATATCCTCCGAATAAAAGTGAATCAAAGGATGCTAACTACCTAAGCAAGACTAACCATGCAAAGGAGCAAGGCCCAAGGAAGTTTGTTGTACTACACCTCCGATTTGACAAGGTATAACCAGCCTTCATTTGTTGGTACCACATTAAATTGATGTTTGCTTTATCACCTTTTAACATTTCAAGTTCCTAGTGTTATTATAAAATAGACATTCCCTCTCTATGTTATCTTGCTAATATTATAGATCATTAACTTAAGTAGCCCGTTGTTTGCAAACAATCAAAGGTTTCATTGCTCAGAATTTCTCTCATTAATTATTGGGGCCAACAGGTTTATTCATGATCTGAAATTAAAATTTGTCATTTGCAACTTCATTGTATTAAAGATCTTTACCAAACAGTTCATATTGAGTTTTAAGCATTTTAAGAACAGAAATATTGGCAAACCATTATGAAATCAAGTTGGCATGGCTGGAAATTTGGATTGGGCGATCACATACCTTCCCTTCTTTTATCTCATTAATTTCTTATAAACTTTTCTGATTTATTTGTGATCATTGTGAAGGACATGGCAGCTCATTCAGCCTGTGATTTTGGTGGGGGGAAAGCTGAAAAACTTGCTTTGGCCAAATACCGTCAAGTGCTCTGGCAGGGAAGGGTCCTTAACTCTCAGTTCACAGACGAGGAGTTGCGGAGTCAGGGGCGCTGCCCTTTGACCCCAGAAGAGATCGGCTTGCTGCTGGCTGCTTTGGGTTTTGACAACAATACCCGTCTTTATCTGGCCTCCCATAAGGTAGCTTCCTTCTCCGTACAAAGCCAACCAACCAAGCTTTCTTAACATCTTTAATTCATATCTTCCGTCTAAAAGTGAATCTAAGACCATTACTTGGAAACTCTAAGGTGTGAGTCGTCGTGGATTTTCAGGTATATGGTGGAGAAGCTAGGATTTCGACTTTGCGGAGTCTTTTCCCATTGATGGAAGACAAAAAGAGCCTCACTTCTGGAAACGAACTAGCCCAAATCAAAGGAAAGGCTTCTTTGCTAGCTGCAGTTGATTATTATGTTAGCATGCACAGTGACATTTTTATTTCGGCTTCTCCTGGCAATATGCATAATGCCATGGTAAGTAAACTTCTAATCTTATTTTGTCAAATCTTGCTAAGCAAAACCTGTGCTTTTTTGATCGAACACTTCCTGCAACTGCAAGTGATGTATTTGTTAAGAACATAACGATCCTTGTACTTTTCTTGATACATTCAACAGGTGGGACATCGGACGTACGAGAATTTGAAAACCATAAGACCAAACATGGCATTGTTGGGACAGCTTTTCATGAACAAAAGCATCATTTGGTCAGACTTTCAGCAGGCCACTGTAGAAGGCCACAAAAACAGACAAGGACAAGTAAGGTTGAGAAAGCCAAAGCAGTCAATATACACATATCCAGCTCCTGATTGTGTTTGCCACGCTTAAATGGTGTTATTTACTGGATGCCACTTTCTGTCACAAAAAACAGGCCACGCTTAATGATTCTGCTTGATGATTCTGCAGCTATTGTTTGTGGTAGTAATCTGTTGAATAAAAATTCGATCTTCCGATCTGTTGGCCTGATCACACGACGTATTTCAAGAACCAGTGTGAGGAAGAACTATTGTAGTTTGTAAAGCTGTGAAGGACAACTGAGAAGGCTTTATGTCTTCTGGGTCCGATTAAGATTAATGCAGTATGCAGTAGTATGCTAATTATCTTCAGATTATTGACAAATTATCTTATTGTTGTAATGAATTACCCACTCTATGTATAGATTTTGTTTATACAAAACCATCCGTCTTCAGTGCGATTTTTTGTTTTGTTCTTCTCAGAACCTGGATAAAAGTTCTTGATATATTTGCACTATAGGGAAAGAAGAGAGACGAAAGAACAACGAATGAACTGTTCCAATGGTCCATTAATGGAACATACAAGAAGAGTTGTTACAAAATAAGAGAAAATTTAAACAAATTTAAACACTGGCTCTAAAGTAAATGAAGTTGAGCCTGTGCTAATCAATTTGTCGTACAAAAACAAGAAGATTCTTACACTACGTTAAATTAAAAAAGGTTGGCGGGCGGGTGCTTATACAGAGAATTGTACAGACCAAAGCAATTTAGAAGGGAAAAATGGCTTTTATACTGTATGGCTTAAGGAGTCGTAGCTACTGGTTGCAGGCAGCTAGCTGTTAAGCTCTCTAAAGGGTGATCTTGTATCAGCTGAGACGTCAAATCTTTTCATTGAAGGAGAATTCACGTTCTCTTTCAGCTCCATTCCTTGACATTCATTGCCAAAAGAGAGTATTATCTTCTCCAGGAGGCCCATCAGTTCTCTGTCTGAATTGGAAAACTCGTTGATATGATTCTCTATGCCCCCAATAATACCCATCAAGTCTTCCTTATTTGAAGATAACTTCATAACATCCTCTATCAAATTACTTTTCTCACTCTTGAGCTCATCGATCAAGACATCCGAATGTGTTAGCTTTGTCTTCAATTGATCAGTCAGTTTCTTCATTTCAGACTCCTTTGCTTCCAGATCTGCTTCAATCTTCATTGCTTTGTCTTTAGCATGACCCAATGATACTTCCTGAAACTCCAGTTTCTGCTGTATCACACGAATATTTTCCTCAAGTTCCAAAATCATCAATTTCTTCTCTTCAGTTTCTAGAGCAGCCAAAATCTCAGCAGCATTGATCTTCTCCCAGGCCTGGTAGACTAGACTAATTTCTGCTTGCTTCTCATCAAGCTGTGAAGCAAAAGATATTAAAGAGCCGTTAAATTTCTGTTCCAGCGAATCCACTAGCTGCATGAGTTGATCTATTCGCTTGTTTTTCTTGTCTACCATTTGGATGAGTTTCTCCTTTTCTTGCTCAAACATACTCTCTGCACCAATATGAGACAGCACAGCTACTTCAAGTTCTCTTCTCAGAGAATCTTGCTCCAGACACTCAACTTCATTTTGGAGTTGTTCTATGATCTCATCCTTCTCTCTTATAGTCTGAAGAAAACTCTCTCTCATGGACTCGAAGGAAGTTGGCGACTCTGCTCCTGACCAAGCAGTAGCCTCCAATTCTATTATTTCGAGCCCTTGCTCCAGCAGCATAACCTGTTGCTCAAGACTTTCAATCTTCTTGTCTTTCTCATTCAACCTCTGAATAAGGCCATCTTTCTCTTGCTTAACGTTCTCTCCTGCATGGATTTCTGCAAGAAGCGAGGCTTCTAACTCTCTACGTATGCTGTGGTTTTCCTCAAGATCAACTTTTAATTGTTCAGATATACATTTCCACATATACATTTCAAAATCAACTTCATTTCCTTCACATATTTTATCATCCAGTTCGGTATTTGCTTCTTCCAATGCATTGCATGCTTCTTGAAGTCTCTCCATTGCATCACATTCTATTTGCGACACTTGTTCTTCCAACACAATATAATCGCTGGATGATTCTTCAAGTATTTCCATAAAGTGATCAAGCTCTTTCAGCTTTAGTTTGTACTGCTCATCAATTAGCTCCATTGATTGAACTCGAATAAACATAGATTCTTTTTCAGCAAGCTCAGCATTTGCCCTGCCTAAGGCGTTGCAAACTTCAAGTTTTTCTGCTGCATCATTTTTCATTTGCAAACACTGCTCCTCTAAGTCAAGCTGACACTTGGTTGATTCCTCGAGCATTTCCTTGTAGCTATCTATTTCTTTCTGCATTAATTGAAGCTGCTCCTCAAAAAGATCCAAAGACTCTACTCTTGTCATTAAAGACGCCACCTCTTCACGCTCTTCTTCAATAACTTTGTGGGCCTTTGCCAAGGCCACATTCTGCACCTCCAGCTGCTTCATCAATAAAGATATTTTCTCCTCTCTCTCTTTGTCATGCATATAAACTTCGGCCATTTCTTTTGACAGCTTCACTTGAGCCTCCGATATTCCCTGATTCAATACTAGTAACATGGCAGAGAACTCCTCATTTTGTAACTTCAACTGCAATGCTGAAGAATGATGACTTTCCAACGTTGCCTCAAGTTCCTTTATTGTTGCCTCTCTTCTGGATAACTCAGTTTTGCAATTATTCAAGTCACTCAAAACTCCATCCAGTTGGGACGTCCATTCAATTTCTTTAGCCCTTAGGTTTGCAGCACATTCACCATGTGCAGTCTCCAAGCTTTGCATCTTGTCTTTCAGTTTTCTGAAAGAGGGTGAAGCTCCTGCTGCTTGAATTTGGTCCTCCTGGAGTTCATTGATGGCTGTCCGCAACTCCTGATTTTCTTCCTCCAGCTTTAGTGTTTGATATTCTCTTTCCTTGAGAAATGAATCTTTTGTTCCCAACGAACTTCTTAAATTAGCAATTTCTTTATCCCTCTGAGCAGTCATTTCATCCAGTTGCATTTTTGCTCGTTCACACTCATCAAGAACATTATCAAAGCGTGTCTCGAAATCAGCAACTTGAATCTGCAAATATTTTCGTCGACTCTCTTCATGTGCGAGGGCTTGGTTGCACATTTCTAACTTGTTATTAAGATCTCTTGAGATTAAGATTTGAGAATCTAGCCTTGTCTGCAGTGAAGAGATCTCATCAAGCAGAGTACCTTTCTCCAGCTCCCACTCTTTCTTATTCACCTTGAATTGATCTCGGACCTTCTCGAGTGCCTCCTCCAGATGTTTAAATTGTTCTATCTTCCACTTCAACTGATCTTTAAGATTTGCAATTTCATTGTTTAAATCAATCAGTGTATCATCTCTTTCTCCATGCTCCTTCTGCACCATGAACCGTTCTTCAGCTTCTGAACACTTTCTTTGCCAAAGCAATAGACTCTCTTTAAGGCCTTTAATTTCTCCTCTATATTCATATATCTTCTGCTCTTGATCCAAGCACTTCTCGTTCGAATCATCCAAAGCCGATAGCAGACTTCTCTTTTCCTCTTTCAATTTTTCAAACTTCTCATTGGTATCATCTCGAAGCTTATCGTTGGCAGAACTAAGATGTTTTACAGCAGACTCTCTTTCAAGTAAACTTCGTTCTAGTTCCTCCAAACGATTCTTCTCCATGGATAATTCTTCTGCCTTTTCATTTATCTCCTGAGCTTGCTTCTCAATTTTCAAATTCGCCTCCTGCAACTTTGCGAATTGTTCGCTATTAACTCTCTTCAAATTTTCAGATAATTCTTCCTTCATCTTGCATTCCGCCCTAAGCTTCTCAATATCAGCTTTTGCTTCATCAAGTTCTTCAAGAATACCGTCCATATTCGTTGATTCTAAATCTAAAATTTGCAGAGGAAGAATAGGAAGGAGGGAGAAAAGTATGAAATAATTAGAATGAAACTAGAACATTTATATCAATTAAAAGTGAAAAAATAAATATGCTAAGTCAAAAATGTCCAGACAGAGTATTGCCTGCACGGGGAACATTACTATTTCTTTTGAAACTTCAAAGACTAAGTACAATAATAAGAGGAAGTCCTAAGAAGAAAATGTTAGTAGCCTATGGATGTTATTCTGGATCTTCTAGGACTAACTAATCAACAGATTCAGACAAAACGAAAAGATAAAATAAATTTGGATGGTTGTTTTGATGTTTGCTAACATATTCAGTTTTGTGCATTATCTTGTTATTTTTTTTTCCACTGGTCAATTTTCTAGGTAGAATAACAAGAACTGTGTTCCCAAAAAAAAAAAAAAATGATACCAGTCAATCGAAAGCTCTGATAGACAATTTCAAAATCTCTGGGATTTTAAAGATATCAATGGAAAGACCTACAAAGGCTCAACTCAACTTCGATTCGTTCTTAGCACTATAACTTTCAAAAAGATTATTACACAACAGCTCCAATCGGAATAAATTCCAAAGAACTGGGGCATTTATAGATATCCTCCCAGAAAGTCAATTAATTGTAAGCTCAATCATTGATTGTTTAATCGAGAAAAATGTGTGACCGCAAAATTTCTCATCACGAAAGACCAGATAGAACTACAACCTCAAACCCATACGAATCACGACCCAGTCGATTAGCGCTAAATTTACTCAGATTTCAAAATACAGAAGAATGTTTAAATCCGTCATTTTCCGTTAGAACAGAATAGCATTCAAAAGGAAAATCAAACCCAATCTACAACCCACGAGATCCAACGAACGAGCAACAAAAGACGAGAACATATAAAACAATAATTTCAAAGACATTTTTCATGTTTCATTGCACAGAAAAAGCGAAGAAACTAGGTATCGCGACATTCCAATGATTCCAGAAATGCACAAGCATTTAAAATTCTCGGAAGCCAAACAAGAAACGAAGCAAAACGTACCAGGCATGAAATTAATATATTTGGCGCTGGATTTAGAATCAACGCAAGTACGGTTGGGAAATTCTGGTTATTGTGAATGAACCAGGGAGAAGTAAGTTAGAAACGATGGAAAGAAGAGAGAGAAATAAGAAAGAAAGTGGTTTCCCAAGTAGCCGTTAAAAGAAGCTTTTTCCGGATTTTAAAAAAGAAAATCCGGTTAACGGAGGTAGACGGTGAAGTACCGATCCATATTAAACGACGTTAGTTGGAGGCCTGGGAGTAAGAGGGAACAAAACGTTGTGGTTCAAAAAAGAAAGCGCCATACTAGCCGTTGCACGGGGGTTCGATTGGGCCGAAAAAACTACAGATGATAGTCAGCCCAATTTTAGCAATCCGACTTTCGGGTTTGGGCCTGTGGCCCATAGCTGAAATTTCTCAACTTTCGGTTTATCATAATTAGATAAAATAGACATATTAAAAAGGAATAGATAAAATCAAAATACATTAATTCTCCCTGGGTTTGATAACGATTTTATTTTTTAGTTTTCTATTTTTAAAAATTATATTTGGTTCCTTCTAATTTATTTTAGTATATTTATTACATTTCTTAAGAATACATTTAAATTATTTATTTGTTATAGTTTCCAAAATTTGAATTATATTTTGAAATTATTTTTAAGTAGACAACAAAATAAAGAAACACAATGTTTATATATAATATTAATTTTTAAAAATAAAAAATAGTCATCAAATATGCCTAAACCATTAACTATAATGTCCTATTAAATTAAAACACATTTATTAACATTATTTGAGTTGATGAGTGATTTACCTCTCTTAAAAAGTTAGTAGTTTCTTTTTCTCAAAAAAAGAAAAGAAAAAGTTAGTAGTTTTTTTATTCTCTCTCTTTCTGAAAAATGGTGCATTTGGATTTTTTTTTTTTGCTTTTTTTTGTTTTTTTTGTTTTTGGAATATAGGATTATACACCTACGATAGATTGGAATTCAAATCTTCAACCGTATTAGTTTGATTCTTAATTACTTGATTAGTTACTATTTTGTAACAATCATTCTCTCTTGGTCTATTTATTTGGACCAATTATAATAGAAAGATGATGCAAGTTTATTTACTCTGTGTGTTTAATATGGTATAGATAGTTGGTCCAGATAAATAGACCATTAATTACACAACATAAACTTACTAGAAAATTATTAATACATTAATCATTAAACTAAGTAGGCTAAGTTCAAGTTTGCCTTCAAATGAGTGTATGACCACTAACTTAATTAACTCTAATTGAGTTTGGTAAAGTTGCAAGTTTTTCCATGATGTAATATAAGTATATTATAATATTCTTGACGTCAAATTAATAATTTATAAATTTTTTTAAAGATGTGACACATCTATCAAACGAGATTAATTTTGTTTTTCAAATTTACATAGGACAAGTCATGTTGATATGATTCGAAAATGGAATCTCCAAAGAAATTAATTAAATCTCAAGCCAAAGAATCTCCACATGCATTATGTTCTCAATCATTCATATTGGCCAACCTCTTTCAACAATTATTGACATTTTTAGGGGCACATATGGATGAAAGAAACACTAATTATAGCAAAAATCAAATTGATTTCAAATTTGATTGCTTAGAGAAAAGGAGTGTTTGAAAGTACCCAAAACATGAGATCAATGGTATTGTAATGGTAGATTATAGTAGAAAAAATAAAAAAAAATGTTCGAATACTATTTTTTTAGTCATCGTACTTTCAAATTGTTTATTTTGATTTTTATACTTTTAAAAACAACCAATTTAATCTTTAATTTGTAAAATTTAATACATAATAGAAACTCTTTAATTAATGAACTTTATGGCTACATTTCAAGAAATTTAGTGAAGTATCATGCTAAAATTATGATAGAAAAAAAAAAGATAAGAATGAAAAGGAAATGACCAAAATAATCACTTTTTAAAAGTATTAAAATCAAAATGCACGTTTTGAAAAATACAGGGACTAAGGTAATTTTTTTTAAAGTACATAGATCAAAAGGAAAGTTTTGAAAATATTAAGATCCTGATAAACCAAAGTCGAAACTACAACAAGTATTTAAACGAAAGAAAAAAAAGTATTTTTGAAAGAAACTAAACAAAATTTAACATATCTCTTTCTAACATTTTATCTTCCCCTTTCAACATACCCTAGCATTGTTGAAATTGGATTTTTCAAAGTTCTTAAAGTTAAAGCCTAGGAATTTTGGAGTATAGCTCTCAAAGTCTCTTTCACTTTGGCAGCTGAGTGTGGCAGCAAAGCCACTTAAACATCATGTCTGGCAAAGATTGGGAGTCCCCAACTCCACTCATGCTTGCTGTATCCATATAACAATTTTCTTGTGGATATATATTCAATTATATAACACTAAAAGTTCCAACCTCCTTATATCTATTGAATTCGACCTAATAATAATAAATATTTTTTTCTTAATAGATCCATTCATTTTAAAAATGTCGAATATGTCGGAAATCTATTAGACACAAAATTGAAAATTCATGAATCTAGATACTTTTCATGTTTATGACCTATTAGACCCAAAATTGAAATTTCAATTATCTATTATACACTTTTAAAATTCAATGACATATTAGAATAGACGTGACTATCATTTCAACAGGGGACCGAAATAATTTAAATTTGTTGAACAATTACCCTCTTATTACCTATCTTGACAGATCGATGTGACCATCATTTCTATAAAAAATTAAATTGATGTAATATGATTTTTTAGATTTTGGTTTAAATACTTTTTAATCCCCATATTTTAATATTAAGACATTTTTCATTCTTATTTTCTTATATCATTTTAGTCCATGTACCTTAAAAAAAATATATATGATTTTTAGCTTCCATCATAAAAAATAGATGCTTATCAAAT